GTACTTAAAAAAGGACTTCTTGTTGTCCTTAATCCGGGAAGCCAGCCCCTGTTCCATCTCTGCCTTGGCCTTCCTAACCATCCCCCTACATCCCCGAGCAACTGCTGAATAGTCCTCCTTAGTGATGACCCCTCCTTTCCATTGGGAGTAAGCCTCCTTTTTGGCAAGGAGACATTCCCGGATGTCATGTTTAGTTGTGTCTAAGGTATACCATACGTTCATCGCTGTCACTTGTGTAAATCTGGTATTTGCTCACACAAGTGGCTAGCCCATTGCATGAAGCAGCATAAACGTGCAATCTCATAGACTAAAAAAGAGAGAGAGCATGCAAGCTCTGGGGAACCCAAATTCACTTCATCAGATGCTGTGAAGTGAACATGTGTTCATGAAGGCTTGTGCTCTCTCTCTGTTTCTCTAAAAAATCTTTTTTATTCAGTCTATAAAGGTGCATATCTACCCTGCCTTCTGACTGACTTCAAACTAACACCTCTCTTAGTTTGCATAGCTGTCCATTTTCATTCAGCTGCCTGATTTATGAATTCAGGTGCTGTAACTGTGTACACAAGTGGATATACAATCATTAAAAGCATCTGAAAATTGAGACTAACATATTGAAATGCTTGTAGTTATGCCCACTTTCTAATTGATAAAATGTATCCTGAGTTTTTCTCCTCTATCTGAGTTTCCTTAGAAATATCTTTACTCAGAATTTGCTGCTGCTTTTATTAATGAAGAGGACTGAAGGATGTATTTTAAAGTTAGAGCAGTGGCAGTTATTTTGCAAATAATGTTTTGGTGTGTGCATTATTGACTTTGCTGGGACATCTGTTACAGTTCTGTCTTTTTTTTCCATCTGTTTCCTAGACTGTATTTAGCACTGATCCTCCGGAAGGCACATCAAGCACCAAGCCAGTTCAGTCTGTATCAAAATATTATAAGGTATGGGATGCCTGGCCTGTTTTTGGCACAGTCTTTCTGTCCTTATGTGGCTGAGGTAATACAGTCAAGACTCAGAAGTGGCTAGGGTAGCAATATAGGTTGTTGAATCCCAGGGGGAGGCAAGGGAATGTCTTTATTAAAATAAATGTGTAAGATTAGAATTTGTTGCTCCAGTTCCAGGAAAAAAGGGAAACATCTGATTTTTAGTTCTAAAATGTGTTTTAAGAAGCAAGGAACCACAAAGATGCTGCATCCACGAGTTCATGCAGATTTTGCCATGTGCCTGCTTTTTTTTTTTTTTTGGAAGGGATAGATGGGATTTCATCAGAGTCTTTGTTCCTGTGTAGTGGGCCTCAAGTTCATCAGAAATGATCATTAACACCCTGCTTCTCTTTTTCATGTTATGTAAGCATACTTCATAGTAAAACTGTTATCAGTTCCTCCCCCCACCCAAAAAAAAAAGCACAGTATGGGAACAGATAACAGTGGGCGGGTGAAAAGGTTTGAGATATTGTCTTATGTAGCAACTTGGAAGCACTAAGTTTCCTGTCAGGAAAAAAAAAGCAGCTATGGTAGTACTTATTTTTTTCATTTCCAAACAAAGTTTGCAAAAGCCTGTCTGTCCAAAGACAATGCAATACATGTATATATTTTGTCCTCCCCCTCCCCTGTGCCTCCCAAAATTGGGATTAACTGACCCTTTCAATACAATGCGAATGCTAGGGATGTAGCTTCATTTGGATAAATCAAATTCCTACCACATTTACTAAATAAATGTTGACTAATGGCAGAGACTCCTAGGTAATTTGGAAAGAATTATCTGAGCCTTTGTAGCACAGATTCCCTCTCATTAGACTTCAAGCTTTTAACACATCAAAACTTCACCTCCCTACTGTTTGGTATCATTAGCTGCTACGCAGCTGGTCAGGCTTGTGTCCTGTCTGTGCTCCAGACCCCTGAGACTTGGAAAGCGAGATGTAACACAGTTTTAATTGATCCTAATCCAGCCACTTTGCATTTTGAGCTGGTGACTCGGTCATTTCCTTCTTTAGAATCTGCATCAGTTGTAAGCTGGATATCATTTGTTTGCCCCAGACATTCAGCTGCTGTATGCTTGACATTATTCTGCTGGAGTTCCTTGTTAACTCCTGGCTGCTTATCTTTAGGTTCCCTGTAGTTCAGTTCCCTTCATCACTGGGACCATCTTCTATTATTTGTTCACATCTATCATTTTGAAAATGTCTAAGTTCTACTAATTTTCCCTCCTGAGGAAAAGGAGCTTAGTTTTTTTTTACTAAAATTTGATTCCTGAGACGTATATTTGTTTGTTGTAATATTCTTAGGAAATATTCTTCCTTGTATGTTCTTATTTCCCAGGGGAACACAGGTGACTGATTGACTCTCTCTCTTGCATGCAGTCCAGAAGCTCTCCATGCCAATAAATTGCTCCAAACTAGCAGTTTAAGTATTGGCCATATTTGCAGGGTGTAAGCAAGAGGAGAAGGCAAATGCAAACAGTGCTAGCACTATAAGAAGTGAACCTTGGCCATTCAGAGCAGGAGCCAGGACTGGGAATGATGCATCTGTGTTTCTTTTTGTACAGCAATCTGGAAACATGTTACTTCCCTGTATTTTCTACAGGTGCACATTCATTTGGATACCAGCAATCAGAGAAAGAAGCAGAGGACAGACCTATGGAGTTCATCCATTACAAAAAAGCAAGGTGCATGAGTGGGTTGGGGTGAAAGCCCTTAACAGCTAAACTAAAAGTCACTCAGCTAGTTCATCCTTAAAATAAAATACTGGAAGCTGTCCCCGTGGTCAGAAATGTATCTGTATTTTACCCTTCAGTACCATACATTGACCCAGGAAGGAAACTTCTGGCAGGTTAGGAGTCTCTGCCTAGCCTTCTTTAAACGTAAAAATGGATGTAGTGACTGGGAAGGTGAAATAGGCTTGCTGCTTAGGGTTTGCTCCTGGCTCTCTACCAAAGTTGCACCACTTTAACTCTAGTGGAATTGTTAAAGTAGTACAATCCCTCTAGTATAGACATAATTGTCAGCATTAAGGTGCTTTATATCAGTATAGCTGTTCTTATATGGAAAGAGAAATGACCTATATAGATAAAGCTCTTTTATACCAGTACCACTGTCTGCCCTACAGGTTGTACTGGTATAACTACTCTGTTAAAAAAGCAGGTCTTAAACAAAACAGTGATGTAGCATAAAAAGTACTACTATACAAACATGATCTAATAAGCAAGACCATCCACTGGGATTGGGAAGAAATCATCCTAGAGATCATCTTAATGCCTTTGATTTTGTTTCTTGATTGCATGCATACTTTTCTCATGGTTGATTGGCTGGTTAGGACTGGCATTAGCTTTGTGAAAATGGGGTAGCATGGGATAAGGAGAAGGGACAGCTGGGGATCTTTGCAGTTCTCTCCTGTGCAGTTATTTAGCTTTGCTTTGTAGGCTGGTGCCTAGTGAGTTTGGGTGTTCTGGAATCTTGTTCCTTTGCTTCTGTATACAGCCCCATTACAAATAGGTCAGGTAGGGTTGTGGTTCCTTTAAGTGGCAATGAAAGCCCTATCAGGGGGCTTCATGTGCCTGCAAACAGAGAATTGACTGGCAGGCTTGCTGAGTGAGCCAGTCTTGGGGTGTAACTCACAGAAGGTTAAATCTTGGCCCCTTCCTATGTAAAAATTCTTTTAGACCCGAGGTAATGTTTATAAAACTTCCTGGGTTCCTCAGGGGAAAGGCAGTGTAGACATGTTGCTTTTGGCCAGGAAGTCTATGATGTATTAAACCCAAGACTATCACGAAAGAGTTACAGTGCAGTTTTACCTCTAGCAAGGAGGAAATTTGCTCCTAGGCACATAAAATATGCCAATATGTGCTATAGTTTTAATAAAGATTAAATTGTCTAATCTTGATGGTAGCATTTCAGTAGAACTCCCACATTTTATGGTCGAAAAACTGAAATTAATTTTGTTCATTCTAAGATCCTATCATGTCTGTTATAAAACTTCCCTAGGCAGTCTATTCCACTGCCTCACTGTTCTCACGGTGAAGAAGTTTTTTTCTGCATATCCCATATAAATTTACTTTGCTGCAACTTCAAGCCATTGGCCCACATCCTCCTCTTGGCAGCAAGAGAGAAGTTCTTTATCTCCTTTTTATGGTAGCCTTTCAAGTATTTGCAGACTGCTCTTATGCACTTCTTAAGGGCCTTTTCCGCAAGCTGAATGTGCCCAGCTCCTTCAGCCTCTCCTTGCGTAACTTGCTTTCCAAGCCTTTTATCATCTTTGTTGACTTTCTCTGGACCCCCCCACAACTGCTTCACCTCCTTTTTAAAATGTAAGGCCCACAACTGCACACAGTCTCCAGATGAGCCCTAACCAGTGCCAAGTCAAAGCACTATCACCTCCCGTGTCTTTCACCTAATGCTTCTATTGGTGCAGCCCAAAACCACGTTGGCATTTTGTGCAGCTGCATCACACTGCAGACCTTTAGGTGAAGAAATACAGAAATACTCTAAATACTCTAAAAAATGAAGAAATGCTCTGTTTTTATCATCTGCAGACCTTGCCAGTTTCAGTGGGCTTCCGAAAACAAGCTGCTATGAGTAATGCTTTGATTTGGAGAGGTAAGCAGACCATCACGTCTGCTACTGAAACATGACGC